TATGTAAAAACATGTAAAAATTAAAAAAAAAACGATTAAAAAAAAGTTGCCTGGGCTAGGATTCGAACCTGCCTTACTACGGCTCCAACGTCATAGCAGCGTAAAGTCCTAACGCTTTAACCACGCGGCCACCGAGGACTTGAAAGATTCTACGTAAAATTCTTACTTAAAAGATAATATTTAGTGAAAGTACTTTTTTATTTATAAACATTTATTTAATTCTGTTTTTAGTATTTGTTCTTATACTGGCAATATAGATACATTATCTGTAAAAATTTCAACTGTCTAGCTATAACGGTTCATAAGATTTGTGACAGACGGACGGACGGACGGACAGCGAAGTCTTAAGCCGGAGTCTCATGCATCCGAAATCCGATGGTACGACATCCGAAATTTGAAGTTATCCTGTGAAATAAAAAAGGCCTGTCACATACATCCGAAAGTTCGTTCCGAAATTTGACACTTTTGACATTTTTCTGCTGCACTGAATAGAGATTCATGTCATGTTTTATTGGAGAAACACTTATAAAAATAACTTCCTCGCCAAATATCCCCAAATTGCCCACTCCCCACTAAACTTCTTGTAAAAACAAATGTTTTCAAAAAAAGTGAGGTTAAAAAACACACGATATCGTACAAAAGTTAAACAAAATTTAACTTTATACGACGTCGGACGATTAGTTAAAATTATCGGATAAAAATTGGTGTCAAAATATTTCGACCAATAGGAGCACCGTCGGATCGTCGTGTCATCGGATTTCGGATGCATGAGACTCCGGCTTTAGTAATGAACCCTATTACTAACCTAATCTAACCTAACCGTTTTTACCCTTTGGGTACGGAACCCTAAAAATGACACAATACTTTTTTTCCTGTTAAACCTTCTGATAAATATTATATGACTTGTTATAAATGATTCCTTCTTATACCGGTTGCATCTCAAAAGTGGCTCACCCCTATAACTATTTTATTTCTTCAGATGAAAAATCGAGATTTGGTAGTTAGTATATGACATAAATTAGGACTAATTGACGCATTCACTTGCTTTCGTCACTTCCTGTTTCACCGGAAATTACTACAACCTTTGATTTTCAAATGGTAGGTACCCTCGGTATTTTGTTACTTTATTAGATGAAAAATGACACTGAATGACACTCTGAATAGAATGACATATCATATATCACATATTATGGTTTATTTGAAATTGTAATATGCGATTCATAACGATAATTTTACTCGAAATACCAAGTGTGTAGTACCAAATTATTCATAAAAAATGCTTTTTCCAAATATGCTAACGAGCCACCGTCATTCCATTTGAAAAAAATGAGATGATTGAAAGTACGATTTGAGCATCTTTTAACAGGCCGGGCCAAGACACTAAAACATCAGACTTCAGAGTTTGGAGAATGTTCAATACACTAACTGCAACCTAAACAACCTAAAAAGACTCGCAAAAATACGTATAAAATTCATCACAGAACTCCAATACGCCCATGACTGCGCTCTAGTTGCAAATACGTTACAGCAATTACAGGAGATGCTGAACACAACACATATACCTGGGCATACGAGACCTTAGGCCTTAAGCTGAATCGATAAAATCGATAAAACTAAAATCATGTACACTCCCACGAAAAATCATAACAGCGTTATAAAAATCGGAGAAGAACTATTGGAATATGTATCGGAATTTAATTACCTCGGCCGTTTGATTTCGGAAAAGGCAAATATCGACTCAGAATTTCAGCACGGAATTAGCAGCGCTTCAAGAGCAAGAGCATTCTGGAAATTAAAAGACAGGGTTTTCTACAATCATGACTTGAGTACAAAAACGAAACTTGCAGTGTATCGAGCAGTAATAATACCCATCATGTTATTGAAAGCGAAACCTGGGTGCCGTACCGCCGGCACACGAGCGCATTAAACAAGTTGCAACAGAGGTACCTTAGACAACTGTTAAGAATTAAATGGTACCACCATGTCTCAAACGTATCAGTCCTTGAAAAAGCAGTCTGCGAGAGCGCTGACGTCATGATTACTAAATCTTGCTTAGGATGGGCTGGCTACGTATGCAGGATGCAAGAAAACCGCCTACCGAAATCTCTTCTTTACGGTGAACTTGTAGAGGTTAAGAGGAAACCGGGTGGATAACTCAAAGATAGAAGGATGTTTTCCATGAAAACTTAAAGGGGATAAGTATGCAGCATCAGTGGGAGGAAGCAGCGCACAATAGAACGCAATGGAGGAGAATTGTAAACTCAGTTAACCAACGACAACCAAAAAGTAAAGAGGCAACAATGTACTGAGATTTTTGTATGTCCGAAGTGCGGAGAGAGATAACATCACGTATCGGGCTTTTCAGTCACAGAAAAGCTCATGAAAGAAAACGCCTTGCGTGACCATCTTTTGATGCGTGTCAAATACTCGCCAGCAAGTAATGGCAGTAAGTAAGTAAGGATTAATACACTTTTTTAAGTAAATAAATGACAATCTAGTAATTTTCTGTTTACACCTAGTTGGCATTTATTGGGTATCTTCATTTTGTACCGTAAGATTTGTACTATTTATATTATTTGGCCGAGATCTTATAGGTAGTGTTTTTAATATCCACTTTGAATGATCATTAAACAAACTCTTTAACATCGGCTTTGATTTAAAGCTGTAAATTTGTTGATTGAAGCTTCGTATGAAAAGTCAAAACGACCCACTTCTATATCTCTTTTGCCGTTATCTTTCTAAAGTTTAGTGTTACATCGAACAAGAAATTATATATGCGAATAACAGACCAAGACGTATATTTGCCATATGATCTAAACAATTTTATTTTTTTTGCTGTGCTTTACTGTTAGAAGTAGCTTTTGATAGTATTTTACCATATGACATATTAGTATTTAGGTAAGTATGTAGGTTTACTAGTTTTATTTTGGGGCATTTAAAAATATGGCCTAAATATTTGTGCTTTTAATACAATAGCATTTATGGTTTCATAGAGGGTCATATTAAATTATTGTTCATAATCATAATAAAATAAATAAAACTGGGGTCTGATTTTTGGATAGATAGTTTGTGATAGTTTGTTTTATAGGAATTTCAAATGTAGACTCAGTCAAGGATACTGAAAGAAAGAGTCAAACATGAATAATCAAAATATTTTTAATAACTTTTTTTATGCAAACATTTTTGGGACTGGTAGATCTTGATAACGGAAACATATTTTCTCTTTGCCGTTATTTTACTTAGAAAATTTCAAAAAAAATTCTTAAATTTTCAGAACAACTGGATCTTTTTTGAGTTCTTTCTTTGTTAATTTAATCTACTACCTACGTACCTATGTTGCCATGTTATCTTTGATGTTATCAAGAAATTATGTTTTTTTAATTAAAAACTAAAAACATTTTTTCAAAAAATTCCAAATTTTCAATTTTTTCGCAAAAAAAAACGAGAAAAAAACTCATAATTATGATTATTGTTAGTTCCCAGTAGTTAATATGCAGATAAAAAAAATCGTGGGTGTTTCGGAAGGCTTGAAAGGAGACAATGTTTTTGCGACGTTTCACGACTTTATTGTCGCTTCTTCAGGCACCAAAACATATATTAATCCACATTATGCCTACAAACATCGATTCGTCTATATGTGTCTTAGTGTTGGCGGTTGGAGTCGCCATGAATGTTTGTAGGCATAATGTGGATTAATATATGTTTTGGTGCCTGAAGAAGCGACAATAAAGTCGCGAAACGTCGCAAAAACATTGTTTCCTTTCAAGCCTTCCCAAACACCCACGATTTTTTTTTATCTGCAAACCTCATAATCTTTTTTCTGGGGTCGAAATATACTACTCCTAAAATATTTAAAACTTATCCTTATTTAAGGCTCATCCTGTATAAATTATTTTACAAAATCTAGAGATCAAATAAAAATCAATTGCTAATTGAAAATCTTTATTAACATAAAATAATAAAATTATTTATAATATTTAACAAAAATTTTAGTGAAATTTTTCAAATAAACTCATTAGAATGGAGTATTAAGCTATTGAACACTTCGACTAGATAATAGATAATAATTCTCTATGTTACAAATTACAAATTACAAGTTGGTCGCCAAACAGGATATCAAATGTCCGTCAAAAATATCAACATACTTTGACACAAAAAATAAATATCAAAATAAAATATAAGTACTATGGACGGTTGTACTAAGCTACATTGATACTGAGTGTGATTTAATTTTTACAAAGTATGCGTTTTATTTAGCTTCCTATGATTTTATCTAGCTTCCTTTGACATTAAGTGTCAGACGGTCAGACAATTTATTTCCATCTGTCAGAAACCGTATTATTTGAATTTCCTGTATTATAAATACTGCCTGCCCCCTTAAGAGTTTAAAAAGTGTATTTATAAAAAATATATCTCGTATTTTAGCTCTTTATTGATATCTAATAGTTGATATTAATAATATTCCGTATGAACAAAAAAAAAACAGCGCAAAATTGGCTCGGAAATGATGCTGCTTTTTGAACAAATCGTCACAATATGACATAGCCAGATCTATTGTTTTACATCACTTGACGTTTAAAGTCATAGGCTACTGGTTAAAATGAAGAAAAATATATTCTTTAAAACTAAATCTTAAATAACTTAAAAACGATTTATTTTAGGTATAGGAACATGTATAGTCAAAAGGCAACTAATCGAAAAACTCTTTCACTAGTGAAATAAAAAAAGTGGGTTTCCATTTGAAAAAAATTATTTATAATAATTTTTTCATCGCTCAATTCTATGACAGCTGGGGCCATTATTATATGACATTCGAACAATTTAATTTTTGAAATACATGTTTTCTCTTTATGGCACAGTGGCTGTGGTAATTACTAAATTTGATGTTCAGGTTATACACATATTTTTGACAGGCAGTTTTTTTCGTTCAAAATTTTTAAATATTTTTTTTCCCTAAAAACGGTTAATGTTAGGTATAGAATGTTTAATATCAAAATTCATAAAATTTTACAGAGAATTTAAGTATGTAAATAAAAAAATGAGGGCACCCATTTAAAATAAGAAAGTTGCTGTCAATTTCCAGTATTTCCGTAAGTACCGCCATATTGAAAATATTTTTAATCGATAGATCTCATTGTGAAACTATGATGTGCAAAAAATCTCAGAGCTAGATGTTGTAGTTCTCTAGAAACTTCTAATGCACGCTCAGCCTGGGACACCGTGTATACTATAGCTACAATATAAAGTTATTTTTAAAAGAGTGTCCCAAATAAATAAAAATGTAAAAGTTGTTTTTTTTAAACGAAACACCCTGTATCTTATTACATTTTTAGTTTCTACGATTAAAATATATATAGTTAAATTTGAGGAAATTGATATTTTACTAGCCATTAATTTACTTTTTGTGTCAACTGATAATGATTGCATTTTTGACAGACAATGAGATTTCCTAATTAATTTGGTTGGTTGACGGCAAGTCCGCGTAGATGGCGCTAGGTCCCTCGGTGCTGCACACGGACTCTTCCGGTGTCCTGGATGGCTCCGCTTCTGTCACTTCCGTTTCCAATTCCTTGCGTTTGTCTTTGTCCTTGTGCCTGGCATGCAAACTCTGAAATTCATAAAAAATACCCTAAATAAATAAATATATTTTTTTTGTAAATATACTTGGATAAATAGATAGATAGATAGATAGATATATTTCATATCAATTAAACTTTTAGTTACGTAATCGAGGGCGCGATTTTTAAATTCATTGTTGCCAACCATGGAGATATTAGGCGCCGTGTTGACTAACTGGAATTTAAATTTCGCGCTGGGGATTCAGGCAGTAGCTCTGCTGTAAAAAATGTGAAGTTGGCACATTTATTTATTTATTTCCTGACATTGTCATTCGTTTGGACACTTTAGTTTTGTATTACGAGATTTTGGTTTAAATAAGTAGTGTTGTAATACTTTAAGCTTGAAAATGTTTACTAGCAGACCCTGCAGTCGAACATTGTTCTTTTTAGCACCTCTTTTAGTGCGAAGTGGGGTACAAGATAGCTTAACATAGCAGTAACAAACTCATCGCAAATTTATGAGAATATTCTGAACGGGAAAGTGGTAGTAATGGTCTTTTATGTCCCTTAAGTGCTGTTAAGACGAATTTGGTTAATGTAAATAATACCTGTTTATATATTTATAATTAATTTATTTTTGTTTTGGTTTGGTTTCACAACCTAAAATATTTTGATTAAAAGTAAATATATAAAAGTGGGCAACGCTGCGCCGGTGAAGCTTAATCACGTGACTAAAAGTTTATTTGTTATGAACTGTAGATATATACTTTCTAGTTCAGGATATGGTAAACCACTATACAACAAGACATATTCTAATAAATAACAGATTAATAAAGAAATATTTGCTAAATTTGACACCTTAATCAGATTTTTTGCTACAGGAAACATCACCTATAGTGTGACCAACGGATCTGTAGCTACGGGGTATCGGCAGGGGAATGCAGTTGTAAACAAAACACGCCCAATTTCATTCATAAAATAGGCATGGGCGTACGGTGTTATATGAAAATAATGTGTATCATAAATATAATACTCAGATTAATAATTTTTTTTCAAAATCTTTATGCTGTTTGAATCGTTACTGTTGAGTTAGCAGATAAACACTAAAAAGCTTTTATTAAAGCTCCCTTTAAATATTTTGAATCATTATATTATCGTGTTGTTAATATAATAGAAGAAATAATTACAGCTGGGGTTGGAACCTTTGGTGTTACACAGCAAAATAAAACACTAAATCAGTACAATACACCAAAAACACTTTTAATTTTACACTGGACGCATGTTTCGCTAACCATGTCTGCCATCAGCAGATGATCAAGACTGAGTCTTGAGGTATATTTATTTATATATCTGTACTAACTATATTTTTTTATAATACATATTTTTAGATATAACTATTTCCAGCAAAAAATCTTGAAAATAGTTAACTTTGGAAGCGCAAACAAAACATAATTTTACTCACCAGTAGATCCAATATTGCCTATTACACCAGATATGGTATCGCTCCGCCAGCAGCTTTTAAAGGTTAGGTCATTGTCTACCCATATGTTTCATCCAAATAGATAATACTTGGCTATATTTTCGAATTTTGCGTATATATTTATATCTCTCTCTGCAATATAATGGGCCGCTCCATTGATATTTATCTGTTATTTTGACATTTACGCCAAAAAAATTCATTTGATTTTAATAATCCCCTAAGCGTTTCCCTGCAAAAGGAAAATTCGATTCTTCCTGCAATTTTTGCAAAAGCTTTCTAATTGTGGGGACGAGTTTGAATTCGAGATAAAATCTATTTATCAAATTCCTGACCACTTCGAAAAAGTCGTCGAGCTTTTCGACAGCAGTCTCACGTGGTCGTTTCTTTCCAGAGCTTGATATCATTTTATCGGGGTTAGTTTTCAGCCTTTTTTTTATCTTCTGTGTGATTTTTTTTATAGCCGATACGCTAACTCCGGTATTAAAAAATATCCGCTCAAGTTTACGTTTAAGCGGCAACTAAAGCGAACTCTCTGTAGCTTCTTCATCGCAAACCCTATTATGAACACAAGGAAATAAACCAAATGAGATTTCATCCACGTTATTATTAACTTACCTATATAAATTAGCTATTATTTCTCTTGTCTGACTATGTAGCGTCTTACCTTTAACAAAATAAAGTTTAGGATAACCGGTATAAAATAATGAAATAAAGTAATAATGATCAAAAAAATTACACCGCCACTGGATATTTCAATAGTATTCAATATTCCTACTCTTTTCAGAAGAGACCGTGAAGTTGAGGATAAAGCAAGCGAATAGGAAAGGCGTAAAAGCCATGGCAACCGCGTGGTAACAAATCCTGTGACGTACTCTGGCCAATCATGTTCGATGAATAGGCGGCCATGCGCGGCGATGCCGGTTTGCCAATGATATCGTTGAAAAATCTTCAACTTTCATAATAAGCAGATTATACAGAATGAAAGAAATAAGTTATTAAATAAAACATATCGAACAATATGAACTACGTTAAAATTCCTTAATAATATACGTCAGAATATATGCTAAACACATTATATATAATAAAAATATATTAAATTTATAGTTCATGTCTGGTAATTTTGCAATTTTATAGATAAACGTGGCAATATCGATTTTTTTTTCTCGCATTCCTTCCGTAGCTTCAGATCCGCTGGTCAAACAGTATATCCATATATGTACCGTGTGATCGAATAAAAATGGCATCACAGTGGTTGCTAAAATAACTTTTCAATACGACTTTTACTATGTCTATGTCTAAAGCTAAGTGAGAGCAATTGTTGTGTAAATAAACTTTTTAATTTTACAAACAAAAAATGTTAGTTCATAAAAATTATATAGAGCGCCGCTTGATAAAAAAACGTCAAGTTACCTTATAAATGACAATGGTGCGTCTCAAAAGTGGCCCACCCCTACAACTTTTTTATTTTTTCAGTTAAAAATCGAGATTTAGTATGTTAGTATATGACACAAATTAGGATTGATTGATCTATTCAATTGTTTTTAGTCACTTCCTGTTTCACCGGAAAGGATTACAACTTTTGATTTTTAAATGGCACCCTCGGTATTTTTTACTTTATTCGATAGAAGATGACAGCCTGAATAGAATGACATATCATATGTCAACTTTTGACATTCTCGCTTAAAAAAAATTGTAGTTTAAATTTCAATGTAGAGTGCCATGGCTATGCTAAAAACACTAATTTTTAATAAAGGAGCCTTGGAAAAATAGATTTGTTTGTGTATGTTTTTAGTGTCTTGTCCTGGCCGGTTAAAAGATGCCCAAATCGTATTTTTAATCGTATTTCATTTTTTCAATGGAACAAAAGGGTGGATCATTAGCATATTTGGATAAAGCATTTTTTACGAATAATTTGGTACCATACACTTAAAAATAGGAGGATACCATTTAAAAATCGAAAGTTGTAATCATCGTTAGACACTTAAAGATGGAACAGAAATTTTTCTTAATTTTAATATTTTAATATTTTCATTTGATCATCCGGTATTTTTTACCATGCAATATTTTGAATATCAACTAAATCTTTGCTATTTAAACCTGTTTGTGTACATTTGGTGATAAATAATTTTAGTTCTAGCGCGTTCTATGGCTTTCATTTGGAATTTTTTATTTTAGATATAATTTCGGGAAAATGGGTTTGCATCAGTTTTCTGAATTTTTCAGATTGCAACAATAGACACTGTAACAATACAAAATGAATAGTAACATTTTTTTTGAGAAGGTAACAATAACAACTAACACATAAACCAAAAATACATTTAACTTCTTGTTTCCGATATACTCGTATACGATTCTTGACATTTAGGTGAATGATTTTCTTACTAAAATTTATTATTTTATTTATTATTTTAATACCATTCATAAAAAATACCCTAAATAAAATCTGAAATTTGATGTAATTATTTAATTCTGCTTTGATTTTCGAATTTTGTTATTTTCTTTGTATACTTAGTATTTAATAATGGAACGTAAATGTTTATCTGATACTGAAAAAAAATCTAGAATTATTAGTTTGTAAAAGCAAAATTGAATGTTTTTTAAAATGTTTTTTATAATTAGCTTCTAGTTCTTGTACTATCACAGATATCATAATATGTGTTATCTGTCGTAGTATATTTTAAAATTAAGAGATTATTGTTGACAAAATGGTGACCACCAGTGGTAGATTAACTCAGTTTGGGCAATTATTGTATTATATATCTGTGATTATATATAAATGTTCTACTCACAAACTTCTAACATCTAGCGAGCTCCTACTTACATCAAATTCAAGAAAAAAACAACTTACCATAGTGCGTCTTACCTTTTCCCGACTTCCTTTTTTCTAAGCAAAAATTCAAATGTTTTAGCAGAAAATACGATTTGGCTTTAGGTATCATAAAAATATAGATATAATTAAAGAATAAATTATAATTTTGTTAAAAGGAATGTGACGCAGACCTACTATTGTTTACAAAATTTGATCATAGTACATTGTTCTGAATTAGTTGATCTGATATAACATCTGGAGAACTCCAGGTAAAGCAATTTTCCACAGTGTTCGCCAAAAAATCCACAAGAAATTATTTTTTTTTATTATTGAGATCGAAAAATGGCTTTTGTAACCAATATAATGAAATTCCAGCAAAAAATATGTTTTTTTTTGCTGGAATTTCATCATGTTGGTTATTAAAAATGCTGGATTAATTAGGCATAAACTTTTTTCTCAATAATAAAAAATATTCTATTTGCTCAGCTCTTTTTAGAACACCCTGTGATATTTTAGAAGTTACCTTTTTATCATACCTTGAGCCTAAAAAAATAAACATAATACTGTAAACTTTGTTTCAATATTATGTGGAATATTTTGAATCCTAGCCGAAAATACTGGGTACGCCCCTGACCAACTCACCTGCAAACTAAACCTCCTGTGCTGGGCTTTCCAGCCGCCGCGCCTTTTGGATATGTGTGGGTTGTCCCTGCAGATAGTTTTGGCTTTGAACATTTCCAGTTGCAGGTAAAGTCTCTTGAGCTCGGCCCTGATATCGTCGGGGCTCATCTCCGCTATCGAAATCTCCCCCATTTCTACGTCACTGTTGTTGCCTGATAAGCTACGATGCGATGTGGGGTCCTAGCATAAGAGAAATAAGACAACTATAGATGCAACATATTAGAGCTAAAATAATCTAAAGTAAGTTATTTTGTGATTTACATTGATAATAGTTTAAATCGTAAACATAATAATATAATATAATAATAGCTCCCGTATATAGCGTTTAACGCCTTGGGAGTAGCAAGGTACAGCTTGCCATGCTAGAGCCGTTCGGTATACAAGGAAGGTAATGTGGCTAGCACTACGCTTCAACCGCCTATTATTACCTCAAGATTGTGAATCCCAAGTACTCATTTAAGGCTGAGTCGACTTAGGTACCCAAACTATTTTCATTTTAAGAAAAATAGTCGGCTGATGAAATGCCGGGTGTAGGATTCGAACCCACTACCATGAGATTGGTAGACGAGAGCCTGTACCTCTACGCCACTGAGTACCATATCGTAAACATAAAAAACATAAAAAGGCAACACCGCAAAAGTCTTGCATGCTCGATCTTGGTCACCGGTGGGTCTTAGTCTTAGTCTTACAGACTTAAAGCTAGTCTTGGTGTTTGTCTTGGTCTTGCTTAAGGCCGCAGAACCCAGTCTCGCTGGACACTATTATAGCGGGTGTTTCTCAAAAGTGTCTCACTCCTATAACTTTTTTATTTTTTCAGATAAAAAAACGAGATTTGGCACGTTAGTATATGACATAAACTAGGATTTATTGATGTATTTAATTGTTTGCGGCTACTTCCTGTTTCACAGGAAATGACAACAAACTTTTGATCCATAATTGGCGTATTTTTTAATATTTTTCATCATGATCATCATCAACTAGCTGCTAAAGTCCACTGCTGGACGTAGGCCTCCCTTGTTTGCTTCCATACATCCCTATCTTGAGCTATATGCATCCAGTTACTATGGATACGCTTTAAGTCGTCATGCTATCTGGTTAGAGGGCGGCCTCTGCTCCTGAATGCATCATGTCTTGGTCTCCATTTTATTATTTTCTTCGTCCATTGGTCACCGTTTAGCCTTGCAATGTGCCCTGCCCAATTTCATTTCAAAGTAGTTATTTTCTCCATGGCATCCGTGACTTTTGTTCTGTCTCATACTTCGATATTCGGTACTTTGTCACTCAGAGATAGACCCAGCAATGATGTTTTCAATGCTTTTTGCGTTATTCTGATTTTGCTTACAGTTTTCTTGGTTAATGTTAGGGTCTCCGCACCATATGTTACAACAGGTAGTACGCATTGAATACCTTCCATTTATTTTTTTTTACTTTATTCTATAGAAAATTACACTCTGAATATAATGACATATCATATGTCAACTTTTGATAGTTTTGCATATGGTTTATTTGAACCAAAAAACAATTGAACACATGAATCAATCCTAATTTAAAATGGCGTCAGAAATGCCTATAAAATGAAGGTCGCTGTCATTTTATATGTAACATTTTACGGGAAATGTCATCGAGCGTCTTTCCAAGCGAACTGACGCTGTCTATTAAAAAATTTTACATATAAAATGACTTCGATCTTCATTTCATAGCCATCGCTGACGCCGTTATTTTTCGATCATGCGGTACTTACTATTAGGATAGTCAATATAAAATTAAAATACCTTAAAAGCATCTAAAGGAAATCGGCATGAGTATTCCTGCCCCAACGATCGTACTTGTTTCTGTTGGTACCAAAATTTGGGCAGGAAAATCAGTACTAGTAGTATCGTCTGCGACAATTGGGTCCTTATGCAGTAGATTATTAGAACTAGGTTTGGATGGAGTTCGTGCAGGACTATAGCTCTAACGGTGTAGAAAATGGCACTTACAGCTAATTCTAGGCTAATGGCTGCGCACAAAAAGCTTCTCTCCTGGAACAATCAAAATGTTATTTAGTAACAAAAGCCAGCAGAGTCGTATCTTGAGGTAGTGATCGAAGTTGTCATAAAACAAATTATATATACAAATTATAAGATTACAGTTGGGGGTTGTAACCCTTGGTGTTACAACAGAAAATTGAGTAAAGAAAGTAGTATTAGTAATCTGGAATGGGAATCCTCCAACGGTCTAAGACACTAGAAGAAATTTCTTAGAACTAACGACCGACAAAAATTGATTTAAGTAAGAACAATTTTCGGATTATCTCGGAGGTTTTAAGGTTGATTCTCACTATTCCTTCCGTTTCCATTCCATATCCGTTCCGTATTTTTTATTGTATTGACGCTATACGTAAGCTTTCGTTCCGTCAGTTCCATACTTGTTATTGTACAATTTATATCATTACGAAAGTTTTATTTAAAAAATTTGTATTTTTGAAAAAGGTAATAGATTTAATTAAGAGGTGAAAGAACAAATAAATATCAGCAAAATTTTAACAGAGTTGGTACAAATGTAAGGACTTGACAACGCTGTTTCTGATACGCTTCAGCCCCTCCGTCAAAAAAATGTATGAGAGCAAAGGATATGGAACGGAAGGGAAACGGAACGGATAGTGTGCATTGTCCTGTTCATTCGACAGGACGACAACCATTCGTGCAATAAACTTTGGTACGACTGCGATCGGAGATGGAGAATTAACCTCTTAAAGTAGTAAAACCCTCTTAGACACTGTTAAACTGTCAACTTTGTTGCCCTGAGAAAATGTAGAATATTCTACAATCATCCAGATCAATTTTCACTAGTAATACCACTAGAAGTCAAATTATTTCCGGAAATTTTTTCGAGCTCATGAATATTTTGAAAATTATCCCGAGTCGAAGACGAGATAATGCAGTTTTTTAATGAAATATATTACATTCTTTGATTTTTTATTTACTCTGGGCTACTATAAGTAGCAGAAAATAAAAAAATTATTGTTCTATAGATACATACATGAACAGATTCAGTTAGCCTATAAACTGTTTATTTCTACTGATTGTAGTAGCTCAAAAGTGCCATTTTAGGACCTAAAATATTATATTCTTTTATTTTATAGTTACTTGGGGTTACTACAACTGTTAGAAAATCGTAATTTAAAAGGTTTTTCGGAACGCTGCATGAACAGATTCACAGCGCGTCACAGTTTTGGCAGCAATTTAGACCTTTAAATTGTTGACTTCTACTCGTTGTAGTTGCACGAAAATACCATCTCAAGACACAACACAATATATTCTTTAATTTTACATAAGTTTTGAGTAACTAAAAGTGGTAGAAAATTGCTTTTTTGCATTTTTATTAACTTTTCATAAACGCTTTATTGGTATGGAATTCATACCAGCGCGCAGCGTCAGCAAGCGTCGATCATAAAAGGCTGTGATTATCGTATATTGATAGTTCAAAATATCAGAAAAACTCGCGTTTTGTTGTAATAAAGAATATTGTGCAGCTTGAAAAACCAACAAAATTCTTTGTTTTAAAAATGAATCGGTTTGAAAATCATACTAAATTGTCTGATGTAATGATCAATCATCGTGCGATGACTTATTTACGCGCATTAATAGAGGATTGTGGCTCCTACTTGAAGAAAGAAAATTTGTTTCGAATTGTTCACGAATATTTGCATCGAAACTACTCAAAATTCAAAGTGCTAAATGGATAAAAGGTGAATAAAATAGTGTCTAAATATTATATATATTTCATTAGACATAGTCATTTAATTTAGTCCATTCCAAGTCCTACATTTTCGTCATTAAGAAGAAAGGAGGTGTCCAAAGAATATAGAAAACATCTCAGCTTTGTAATTGAAATGTATCAAAATTATCATGTAAACAAATAAAAACCAGACTCTCAAAAAGATATTCTGTCATTATAAACGTCAAAAAATTTCCAGTATAACTCGCTGTTGGGTGCCCACAAGGAAAACATTTTCACTAAAATTTATCCGTTGCCATGGTGATTTGTCAAAAAAACATGTTTTGATTGGTTAAAAATTACAGGTGTGGAATTTTCAAGAAAAAATATCTGTGGAATGCTAAAATATAAAATTCAAAAGTTTGCCTATGACCGGTCCAGACCAAGACGACAAAAAGTAAACACGATTTTGAGACAAAAACAAGACAAACTTGCGACAAAAAATGGGGAATTCTGACAAGACAAACTTGAGACAAATTGCCCACACCGCAAGGACAAAAGTACAACAAAGTAAAAAGTTTAGTTGTTGCCAATGAGTTTTATTAACCATGATTTTACTGGTCTCCTGCTGTTGGCAGCACACGCCATCCACACTGCGCGGACAACTTGTCGTAAAATATACGAAGAAAACATAGACACTTTGATCTTTACCGACTCGAGACGGGACATTGAAAAGTCTCCGAATTTTGAAACTAAACAAAACTGAGACAAAAATATCGCAGAAATGTATTGGATTTGTCGCAATTTTTTCGTAAAACATGAATGTTTCTGTCTTGTCGTTGTTGTGTCTGCTTATTCTGGACCCGGCATTACTTTCAATTAAACCGTTATCAATGAATGGCATAATTTTATGGAACCATCCTTTTTTTTTTTGATGCACTGAGAAATTATTAAGTAATTTGACACAGTCACAACACAGTATACTAAATATCACCAGCCTAGAGTCCGTGATTATACTAGTCTTATTACTAAAGATTTCCGTACTAAGTCCAATTATCCAGCGTGTTTAGTATTGAAGGAAGTTGGAAAGCCGCAGGATTAGACAAACTCCTCTATACAAGAAACTTCTCGAGTTATAGATCTCTGATATGTCCCTTGCCTCTAAGCTCATCCTGCATTAGATGCAGTTTGAGTTTGCATATATTTACATTATACAGATATACGTATACGCAGTGGCGGTGCATGGTTAAATACTTCAGGGGTGCACAACTTGTCAAAACACAATAGTCAATACTCTTTAAAATCTTTATAGATTTGGTGATTGGTTTTTATCCTAATTGTCAATAGTCCTGAAAAATTAAATACAGCCAGCAATTAAGTGGGTCCAAAAATGAATTTAACAAAAACTAAAGTAACGAACTAATAGACAGAAAAGACATTCTAATAAATAACACAAAACTGGAAATAGCAAAAGAATTCATCTATATTTGGGACAACTAATACACAGGTTGGGGTCTCTACTACCAGAAATCCACCGAAGAATTAAATTAGCACTGAGTACTTATGGAAGAAGTTCGATCATATTCAAATTTTGCCACTTTATCTAACGAAGAAAACATTCGACCAATGTGTAGTACCAGTCATGACCTATGCATGCAAAACCTGGTCTCTTAAAATGGACATTATAAGAAAACTGCAGGTCGCACAACGCTCAATGGAACGAAATATTCTGGGAATAACCAAGAAAGACCGCAAAAGAATAGAGTGTATGCCAAAAGACCCAGGTAATAGATGTCATCTACAGAATTAAATCCCTCAAGTGGCAATGGGCAGGACACCTGGCATGAAGGACGGACAACAGATGACAGATGGACCTCAAAAATTACTGCATGGTACCTACGAAGAATTAAGAGACCTAGGGGAGGACCATACCTGAAATGGGACCATGATATTAGGAAATTAGCAGTGATAACTTGGACCCGAATAGCCAACAATAGACAACAATGGGCCCAACTACAAAGAGAGTATCTAAATATGTGAGGGAGGCTACACCATAATTGAAAATGGTTGAATAAGCTGAAAATGATGATGATGATGTTGATGATGATGATGATCATGATGCAAGCTCATAAAGCTTCAGGATTATTATTTTATCTTTTAATACATTTATGATAAGGGAGAGCGCCCGCCAAAGTGGCGTAGCATATGACGTTGCACATACATGGCAATGATATAGCAATAGCGTTGCATGATTTTTCAGGAAGCGCATATATAAGTGATGTGGCAGTGGCGTAAACATGTCGTCCTCAGAGGATGAAGATTTGTTAGCAGTTGTAAACCTAATTAATATGAACCAAAATTATCCAAAGCGTCGCTATTGAATATACCCCTTTTACAAAAAGAGACATAGGAATAGTAGATTTAGTGTTTTTAAGGAATTGAATATGGTATCAATATTTCAAGCATTTTATAGAATGAAACAACAAACCTTGTATGTGATAGAAAAGTCTCAATCAGTGATACAAAACATATATTGAAGTCCAAATCGTCATCAATTTTTGCCAAATTCGAGTAACTTGTTAATAGCACGTGGCGAAAATTAGAACCAGTTCTAGTTTTGAAGCAGTAGCATGGCATGCTACAACGACAAATAACACGTTTCTGACAGCGCTACTTCAGTGTGCGCTGACACACTTATTGTCGTTTGTTTAATTCGACGTATGCCAGCAGTGGGATTTTGTAAGCTTCGTACCAAGAAATTTCCTGTCTAGCCTATACCATTTGTATACGATTGATGAGTCACTAGACAAGAGAAGTGTTTACAGAATCGGGCCTCAGATTACGTGCCACGTCAGATGTTACGTCACTTTGGTGGGTGCTCTCACTAAGATTGAACTCCCATCCATTTTCTATACATATATCACTCTTATTTAAAAGATTATTGAATTCTAAAAAGCTCACAAACTTTATTTATAACTCTATTACGTAGAATATGTCGATGCTGATAAATTTATGTTGTTTGCTTCAAGATTTTCTTATATATTGATTGACATGTCCTTAAAACGCAAATCAGTATCAAAAATAAACTATAAATAAACATCCTAAGTGTGTGTGTTTAGTTTTTAATTTCTGTGGCAGGTCTTGTATAAATTTAGATATCCTAAGATTTTAAGTTTAATAGTTAATTTAGTAGTAATTAATAGACTATTTTTTTAATTATAAAAACCATTTTTTGTAAATAAGGTGTCCGGTAGTTTAAATATTAGAAAAAGAATACCTAACCCACTTCTAAATATTTTCCATAACAACTAAACAATGCATG